TCCATACCACCCTATCGTTCCAATCATTCTCTTGTAGTCCTCGTCTTTGCATATCGTTAAAAATCTGATTCTGCCATTCCTCTCTAAGTCTACCTCTTTTTCTTCTGTCTAAAGGAAACCACTCGCGTACCTTTCTTGGCCATCTCCCACAATCAAGCATTTTCACGTGACTGAAACATTTCAGCCTGTTTCCAATCTATTATTGATTTTTGAACCTTCATTCGCTTAATAATTTCTTCGTTTCTAATATCCTCCATTTTAGAGACTCCACAACGTCTTCTCAAAAAATTCATTTGTAGGCTCATTAATTTCTCTCTTTCACCTTTTCCTTAGTTTCCATGTTTCTGCACCATACCATGTTATACTTTGTATGATAGAGTCGAAAAGTCTTTTCTTGGTAGACTTGGATATTTCTTTTCCCCAGAGCAGCGAGTTTAACTTTCTAATAGCGTGCCGTCCTTGTGTAATTTTTGAAGCAATTTATTTTCTGGAATCTCCTTCTTCGCTAATAATTTCACCCAAATATTTAAAATCATGGCAGGCTTCTATCTGATCTCCATTTATTGATATATCATTTATTTTCTTCTCTCCCACTACCATATATTTTGTTTTGAGAAAATTGATCTTCAATCCTGCTTTTTTGTATGTTTTCGCAACCTTTCCCGTCATATACTCCATGTCAAACTCATCATTGGACAAAATCATCGGATCATCAGTGAATAATAATGTATGAAGGCAATCTTCATCAATGTATATTCCCATACCTCGGCACATATTTTGCCATCCTTTTAGACTTTCTTGGAGGTTACTCTTAAACAAAGAGGGTGATAAACAACACCTTTGCCTCAGACCCTTTGTTTGTCGAAATGACTACGAAACTTCATTTCCCACTTTCATTCTTGTTTCTTGATTCTCATACCAATCTTTTACTGCATTTATATATTGGGCGCTGATACCAATCGTTTCTAGAATTGGGAAGAGTTTACCTAATAGGACCGTATCGTAAGCTTTTTCTAAATCGATAAATACAAGATAAGTCTCCCTATTCCTAACTAATCTCATTTCTAGCACCTGCTTTATTGTAAAGATTTTATCGATACAACTTCTACCCACTGTACACCCACTTTGCTCATCTTCTGTATTAAGTTTTATAATTAGCTCATACAGTATTTCTGTAGATGAAGTTACACTTATACCTCTATAATTTTTACACTCCAATTTCGGTCCTTTCTTGTGAATAGGTGTTAAAAAAAGCTTGCTTCCATTTCCTAGACAACTTTTCTCCTTGCAAACACTATTAAAATTATTTGTAGTATTTCTAATACATTGGTTGGTGTATTTTTCAATAGTTCTACAGGATTCGTACCTCCAGGGCCAGGAGATTTACCATTTTTCATCTTTTTGATGGAGTTCTTTATCTCATTTAAACGTATTTCTTTTACCTCATAAGAAGGTGTAATATCCAATTGTCTGTTAGTTTCTTTCAGAGATTCCTTAAATTCGTGTCTATTCTCTTCAAACATATCTGAGTAATAGTTAACCCTTTCGTCCATTTTTATAATTTGTAAATTAGATTGTGTTTTATTGTCTTGTCTTAAACGTTTTATAATTCCCCATGACTCCTTGCTTTGTGTCCCACCTATGTTCTCTTCCACTTTTAAGCATTTTTTAATTCCACCATTCATCTTTTGATTTTTTTACCAGTTTTTTTCACCTTTTTCATGTATTCTTTCCTATTGTCCAGATTTTGGATCGCAAGCCATTTTTCATAATATCTTCTTTTCTCCTTTATCTTAGTTTCTACTTCATTATTCCAACAATATTGCCTAGGTTTTTCTTTACTCTCTTCCCCCAGAGCTTCAAACGCTGCTTCATGTATTGCTGCTTTTAGTTTTTCGAACATATCATCAGTTGTCCCTTCAGATTGTTCTCTTAATTTATTTGCCAATCTTAACTGATATAGAAATTTGATGGAGTTTTCATTCAATATATTTAGCTGATATTTAGGGTAAGTTATACTTTCTAGTTCTTGTTTGTTATAATAGTTTTTTAGTACTTGCATTCTAAAGGAAAAACTCATTGAACACTTCAGTAAGTAATGATCAGAGCCACATTCTGCAGCTCTAAAAACTCTTACATCCAATGCTTTAATGCAAGATGTCTGTCGCATAATTACGTAGTCAGTTATTGATTTCTGGTTCTTCGTAGGCTGCACCCAGGTATATTTGTGTTCATAGAAACTATTCATAATTTTCATATCGTAGACGTTACATATCACAATCCATCTTTTTCCATTTTCATTTATGATATCTTCTCCAAAAGCACCTACTGCTTTGTCCTTTATTTTTCTCCATACTCTAGCGTTCATTCCCCCATTATTACTATTTTTTCCTAGTACTTATTGAATCGAGAAGAGTTGTGAGTTCCTTTTCAAAATTGTCTTTCAGATTATTGTTGGAATCATCAGTTGGTTCATAAATGGCAATTATTACCATAGCACATCCCATTATTTCCATTTCCCACTTCATAATTCTTGCAGTTACTTCTTCCCAGTTTTTGACATTTCTTTTCCATTTTTTATTTATTGCTATTGAGATGCCCGCCTTTGCACTTTTATCTTTGGCTACTCCAGTATAGAAATGCAAGAAGTTTCCCTTAATTCCATTTCCTTGCCCCTTTTTCTTAGTTTCAGAAAGAACAGCAATGTTTATTTTAAATTTCTCCAATTGAGCAAACACTTCTTTTTCTTTAGTATTTAAGCCCTGCACATTCCATGTACCAAAATTCAAAGCCCTTTTTCTCGCACGATTTCGTTTCCATAATTGACATATCCAAAGCTGTGTATTGGGACATTTTGCATTTTACTGATATTGAGGAGGTTTTTACTGGTATTGAGAAGCAAGCCCAATGTCCAACCCCCCAACCTGGAGGATCGGAGGTTTTGTTATCGACCTTCCCGTGCCCTAGAGGGGTTGGCTTCTCCACGACTATCGAAGCTCCTCTCCCCGTTCAAAGGCATATCTAAAAAAGCTAAAGAATGAAAAAAAGAAAGACTCCCTAGCCCTCGACACCTAACAGCGTCGGGGTCGAAAAAACAAGAGTTGGCCAAGAGAGGCCTGATAGGAAAGTTGAAAGATGTGTGGCATAGAAAAGTAAAAGATGTCACACCTGAAGAAAGGGTACCTCAGTAGATACGACTGAATCCCTGTGGGGGGTCGAGAAGGACATGGGGAACTTAGGTCATGGAATAGGGAGTAGGATTAAGATAGGACGTTGTGAAACACGTTAGTTTGGCTTCTCCATTTCAGCCTGTCCAGCATGGGTGACCCTACCAGTAGACATGCGTATACGAGCATGCTACAGCCGGCATAGCCTTCCACGTCACTGAAGCACGCAAGCCTCCCCGCCCACACGGACAGTGTTACTACAAGGCGGTGTCCCCTGGGGAGGGTGAACGTGTTTTAAATAGTTTTAATACGTGAACGTGATTTTAGATTAAATGGATATTGTATTTCGTAATGTATTTTCATGTAAAATATAATAAATGTAATTTCATGTAATAAATCACATAGTTTTAAAATAGTCAATAATTGAAATGAAACCAACTACCCACCCCTTACCTTCCTTCCAATCATTAAACTCAGAGTGATAGCCACCACACGCATTAACAATCACATCATTAGAAAACAAGAAATGATGAATGTCTCCAATTTTACTTTTAAAAATGTAAATATTGTTTATTATGAAATGTAAGTGTAATAATAAAGTTTTATTCATTTTGTTTAAATTACTTTCTTAAAAAGCACTTGCACCTACAATGCGACCCTGGTTAAGTGTCATCAAAGATATCCGTGAAACCATTAGGTTTGGCCGGGCCTGGAATAAAATCAGACGGACGGAGATCATACGGAGAGACGATTTTCTCGATATCAAGGATCAGCTGAGGTGGCCCAGCGCTTTAATTGATGTTCCTGCAGAGCCCCTAACCTTTTACCTACACATACACTTACACGCACTACATGACCACGTCTGGAGACCGGGCGAGAGCTTAGAGCTTGTCCCTGCTGTGGCGGTTTCCCTGTAGTGGAGGATGAGGAAAATATCGCCAACCGACGTATAGGTCTAACTAAGCTCTCACAATTTGTTCTTCTGAGCTATGTACCGGGCCCTAAGCAAATGAATTGATCATAAACATAAATTAGGCATTTCTTTGAGTACGAATTATAAATCTAGCATGCGTACACTAAAATCTGCCGCAAATCTTAGGAGAAAGACCCAACCTTGAACTCAGTCTGCACTGAGTCAAGGTCGTTTGAGATCCAGCACTCTTTCTGTAAACATGCAAGAACATTTCTGAGGAACATGACCTTGCGTTGGTAAGCTCTAGATAGGAGAGAAGGTATCACTCGCAGGCATGTGTATGGAAACCATGAACCAAAGAACGTCTATGGTGAGGAAGTTCAGAGATTGTTTGCGATTTTGTGTGTGTGTGTGTGTAGGTTCTGTAGATTTTTGTCGTAGATACAGTCTTCAGTAACTTTGTCTGCGTCCCAGGATTATGGGGAGGTTCTCAGACTCACTAAATACCGTTGTGACTCATTCGCTACATGGATAAAGGAATAAAGAAGCTTCAGTAGTGATCTCCTGACATATTTATCGTAATCGGCGAATAGATAACCCAGATTACTTTATATCCTTTGAGAGCCGCCGACGCAGCCACTGCGCATGCCCGCCCGCGGCGCCGCCAGCGGAGGGGTCGGGGGCGGCGGCGATGGTGGCGGCGGGAGAGGCACGTGGGGGGAGGCAGGGCCCGAGCAGCGGCGGCGAAGGCGACCCTCCCGGCAGTGACGGCCTCAGCAGCAGCTCGCAACCATGGTCGCGGCGACGGTCTCCAGCTGGCCCCGCGCGCTGCGCCCCGCGGTCGCCGCTGCCTGCGCCGGCGCCCGCGCGCCCCGCCGCCACCTCGCCGCTCCTGCGCTCCCCGTGCTTCTCTTCAACAGGTACTTCCCTTTGTTGCCGGCACCGGTGCTGTTGACGTCGCGTCTGTTGGCTGTGCTTGTGGGATGGTGTCTGGCATTGGAAAGTTTAGGGCGTTACGATACTTGGCTAAACTATTACACGCTCCCTAATTTTTTAATAAATTCAAGTTTTGAAGAACGAATTTTCTTCTTGCATATTAAAAATGTACAATTTTTATCACTACCAGTTCATACAATATTTTACATACCACTTACATACCACATACCTTCCTTGTTTTGTATTTGGTTGTCATGTCACATTTGGTTCCCATCAGATAATCATTTCTCCTTGGGATAACGTTAAAGTGTTCTCGAAGTGCATCGTGCATCTGTGGACAATTGTGCCAAATTTGGTTTATCATTAGGTAATTCTTCATAGCAATATTTACTATCTCTGCAACATCTGTTTACATGAGTTTTCTAACATATTGTGTTGGATTTATTTCCTGTGTTTCCTGGTTAGAGTTATAATGTCATAGAAAAATAGTTCAACATTAAAGACTGGTAGTACTTCATTATTTCAGTTCATCTGCCACCGCCACTAGAATTTAAAAGTCTGCAATAATAGGTACATTTATCAGCAAATAAAATTAGTACATTTCGAATTTTTCAAAGGAATGTTAATGACGTTAATGGTGTTGATGTGGCGGCAGTAGTTACATGGGTTAAATAACGATTGTTAGTTATTTTTGAAGGGAAGATTGTTGCATGAAATTCAGTTAATCATTGCAGGATTCCTAGAATTAAGGACTTAAACTGTTATTAAGTTGAATGAAGTTTTATTCCATAATATAGTAGGCAATTTATTTTATAACCTTTCGGATTTCAACCTTCTTCAGGTGAACTAAATGAGCGGTACATAATTAAACACAATAAGAGATAATTATTGCTATTATTAATCATAGTAAAATGATGTTATTCATATTATGGAGTATTTGTTGGTATTCGTTCAGTGACATGCGTGTTTTGAAAATTTGAATGGTTATATATACCATATTACATTGATTATTAAATTATCGATAACTGTTCACGAATGCTGCCGTACGATTTTCTTGTACACAAAATATACTTTTCTTTTTCCAATTGTTTGTTTTTGTAATTTTTAAATGAATGTTTCATCATATTTGTCTCTTAAAACTTAAGCGTCTTTATGAAATTGTGATACTCAGGTTTCACATTAGAATTTAATAGATTATAGAGATAAAAATATTGCAAATATGTTGTAGCAATATTTTGTAATTAACTTATAACTGTGTACATCTTCGTATTGTAATAAATACCAGGGGCCGAATACCGTAATTATAAGTGTAAAGGTATTAATATCGGTGTAGAAATCCCTGCTATACCTCTATTATACCTTTATTGGAAAATACCGATATTTCTAGAGGTAATATATCTTTATCGGACATCTATCCCGAAAAAATACCTCTATCTAAAAGTATTCTATTATTTTCAGAGAATAATTTGATATTAAGAAATAGAGAAAATACCGGTATTCCAGTAGAATTATATTTTATGTATATATTTTTGGGGAAATCTTTGTGATTTTTACCGCTAAGCTGACTCAGAGATAAAAACACTACAGAGTTTGACACTACAAAGTTTCTGACCGGGAGGTCTGAGGGTTCGAGTCTCGACGGTGGCGCATTTCCGACACTAGCCATATTCTAGCTAGGTCGAATTCTGCCGTTGGCTGGAAAAGAATTCTACTGGAGGGTTTTCTGAACGGTAGTTTTTACTTTCCCGTTTACGTACGTATATACGGAGAAATATACGTAGTATAGGGAAAGTTATGTAATGCTGCGGCAAATCGATTTCGATATTTCAACGGAAATACACGTTTTTGGGGCCCCAGATATCGAAAAAGTGTTTTTTTCAAAACGTCCTTCCGTCTTGTGTCTGAACACTACTAGCACCTAAACCATGAGTAGGATTTTTTTCAAGTTGAAGAAATCAGTGTGGATCTGGCTCGAATCAAATCATTGACATTTTGAAAAAAAAACTTTAAAATTTGGGGGTACTTTACTTGAAGCCCCCCCCCCGGCCTTTTTCTACGTTTTCTCAAAAACGGCTCTAATTTCTTTATATTTCTTGTAAGAATAGAGTAAAATACACTTATAAGGAGGGCATAGGTCCAATTTTCTGGTTTAACACTGAATTTTTTAAAAATTTCAAAAATTTTCGTTCGTTTTCCTACAACCACAAAATTGAAGTTAGAAATTTTTCCTTCAAATAAAATTTGTTGTCCCTAGTGAGTCCTTTCATTACGGTCATGTACATTGTTTTGGGAATTTTAGTAGTTTTCGCATAATATTGCGTGCAATATGTTTATTTTTTTTAAAAAAAACAAGATTTTTTCAAAAAATGCTCTAAACGTTTTCTTTGAACTTTTGATAGGCATAGTGCTAAGTATACTTTAAGATGACATAAACGCCATATTGCTCTATTCTTTTGTTTTTTTTTTCAAAAATTACAAAAATGTAACTTATTGACTTCAGTCATATCGTTAATATTTATATTATCGGCAATTTGTTCACATTATTGTATTTTTATAAAATTACTGTAATTATTGTAAAATTTTTCTTCAAACATATCGATTGAATACTGGTAATTGTACTCTTTAATATGACGTTAAGTTAATTTCGATGTAATTTTTTGTTTTTTTTTAAATTACTCAAATATACATATTTCGAAAGATCTCTCACGCCATTGATAGGCACATTTCCAGCAATTTGTAAACACTATTGTATTTGTGAGTTAAAGTACTTAAAATGACTTCAAATTAAGTTTTTCGAAAACTCAATAATGTTCTGTGAAAGAGCTTCAAATTTCGAATTTCCAGTAGCGCTTAAACGCCAGTTTTTTAAAAAGGCTCCAAATTTTTCAAAGAAAATTGCCACATATGACGAGTTTTTAGTGTTCTTTAATGATCTTAAAATCTGTTCTTTAATAATCTTAAAATAATATTTCTGCTTTACAATACAAAGCCAAATTAAGAAAATGACAAAACAATGTACTTTGGGCGGCGATAGATGGTTGCAGGCAAGAATATGTAGCAAGTTCGAATAGCTAACCGAGACCAAAGGAAATGCAATAGTAATATGGGAAAGTTTGTGCCATTGTGTTGCACCACTAGTTCATTTTCAGATCAGATTGTTTGATTGATTAGTGATTCCGGCCCCGTCAACTGCTGAGGTGATTAGTCCCATACGTGTAGTGCAGATTTTGATCGCGGGAGGCGGCGGCGGCGGCGGCGATCGCTCCTCAAATGGCGAGATCCGGCGCCGAACGTCCCGTCGGCTACCGGGGCTATCACCGAGGTATTACTCGCGCAACTTTTCTTGAACGATGACCTTGCTTCCCCCTTCCTGACACAGTAAACAGTTGAAGACAAAAGCTCGCAGCGTGCACTGATGGCAACATTACAAACACATCTTCACTGGCGCGAAATAGAAACTATTTTCCGTTGAAGATAAGAACTTCTGACCGTGATTTTCTCCCAAAAAATTCAATAAATTACCAAAGCAGGTGAAGATTTATCACAGAAAATACCTCGAACACCTGAGAAAATTAGGACGCAAATTATTGAGAAAGTTGCGAAGGCATGACTGATTCTCCAGAGATTGGCATTGCTTCATAAAATCTAGTGGCCGATTTCGTAACTAATACCCCCTCTCTACCGGCATTTCTTCAATCCATTGTTCAAGGAAAGTTGCACGAGTAATATCTAGTACCAACGAGGCACCGCCCCTGCCGGGACAAAATGTAAGATTCCGACCGGTCTCCCGACACGTGTGGTAGTGCAATGCATTTAAGTGTATGTGTCAGAAAAGAGTGAGGACAAGACAAGGAAAAGGAAGGAAAGATCGTGCTTGGTTCGTGGCCCGTTTGTTAGGGTACTGCTCCGGCATTCACCTCGCATTGATCAGTGAAACCACGGAAAACTACCGATCAGAGCAGCCGGACCCTAGAATTCTCTTCCAAAAAGCGACGGAATTCGACCGAACTATCTAGCTAGTGTCGAAAATCCTGTCACCATCGGGATTCGAACCCAGGACCTGCTGGTCAGAGTCATTGCCGTGACATCAGTTGAAGCACTGATTCACCTCCGCCGGTTCTCTCCGATCAGAACCAGGGAATGTCGGAGTAGAACTTCAACAAACGGGCCACTGTTCGCGCGTAATCTTTTCTTCCTCATCGCGTCGCCTTAAATACACAAACTCTTTCCCGCCATACACAACCAGACATTTAGGGAGACCAGTCGGAGCCTAAGCGCTTGTTCGGCAGAACTGGATATATGTGGAGGGGGAGACTCCTGAAGTCCACATATTGCTAGCTCGTCGCCACCTTTCACATCCTAGCGGGAAAGAAACACCGGCTTGTCCGGATTGGTTTATTGATGTTTCCGACAGTATCCAATTCAACTGGCATTAGTCATTAGTTTGTATATGAATGTTTTATCCCGGGAGGTGGCGGTGCTCCTCTGACGCTGGATCGTGAGATCCGGCGGTGACCTACATGCCGGCTTGCGGGAGCACTTTCGCCTATCTTCTTTCGCTACCCCCTGTATGCACATACCAAGTTAACATGCTTTCCAATTACAGGGAAAATATATACAATTGCATTGCATTCCATTCACTATTTATAATACTATTTTAACACGCAAACGTTTTTCCAAATAGTTTTTTTTAGGCTGAGATTCGAACCCAGGTTGTTAGGTGTAGTATGCACGGAGAGAAATGTTAAGTTCATACAATTAATCATGTAGTAGGTTTGACTAAACGGTACAGTACATTTTGAAAGAACAAAATGCGCTTATTCACGTTCACAAAACTGCTGTTTAATTAAGCACACTAGTGCACGTATAGTAATGTTCACTAAACAGGCCGTACCCGTGAAGAATGGCTTCTTGTGGAGATAACTAAACGGATCGTTGGGTTGAATAATACATCGAGTAATATTTACTAAACACATTGCAGTGA